CATGAAAATAAAATGCTACGAAATTTCATTGCAAAGTTTGAATTATTTTGTTATCTTTTCTGCTTAACTGCTTTCAATTGTTTGCTTAAATAGAAATGGCTTTCTATAAACTGTGCGAAGACTTGTGAATGATTAATATGTAATAACTAACGCTTAATCCAATCTGCCGGAAAAGTTATTCCTGCCTGTACAAAGTTAGACAAAGATACCGAAATTTAAATAATTTTCTTATGTTCGATGTTCAAAGGGTGATTAATAACAAATACTTCTAATTTACTAAAAATTTATTTCGTCACATATAAAAGTAATCCTTTACATGGCTTCGATATAACGTTCAGAAACTCATTCGTACATTTGAGCAAAGTTCTAATCGAGTGACAATTAAATTCGATTTTCCCAAGAGTAAACCAATTCGTTTCCATGAAATGTTTTCGTCATCGTGGTTAAGAAACTACGCAAGATTATATCTGTACGCCGTATTGTCGAATGGTTGCTTCTAACAAAATTGTCAAATTTATCCTCCATTTCTTTAGAAAAAATAATTTTTACCAGAGGTTTGTCCAGACAATTTTAAACCATTCTTATATCTAATTTTTCTTTTACACAACTTTCACATATCGTCGGGTAAGATTGATTCAAATAGTTACGTAAAATTATGGAAGATCTAAGGTCGCGCTGCGACTTTACAACTTATTCTGGTATCTTTACACGGACACTACGAATTTTCTTTAATTTCACCACCCTCCTTGTTAAAAGATTTATTCTTTTCTTTCTGTAATTTCGCTTATAAGTATGAAAGGTTACAGTCGACCAGGAATATCGCGCTTAGATTAATTATGTAAATGAAATCTTAAAATACTTTCTAGCTCAAGTCCACGAGCCAAAGGACAGACATATTTCATCTGAAACAGACATTAAAAAGTAGTTAGAATATTACGTGTTCATAAAAAATGTGTCTAAATGGGAACAGCGTAAAAATAATTAAATCAGATGAGACCTAGGTGTATCGTTTAAACGAGACATTCTGCATATTATATTGCATGAAATTATAATTCTCAAACTTATTTGCATAATCATTAGAGAAGAATTGAATATAAATATTTTATTGTATTTATCTTTTTTAATTGTATTTCTATTTACATTTTGTAATTGGATGATATATATGCATATATATAATGAGTACATATGCATTACTAAAAACAATTTCATTCACAACTCAAACACTACGATGAATACTAGCCTTAAGCAATTAAACTTCGAATCTCATCATAAAGTGAAAATGATTATTTTAGTACGTATATGCACAAGTGTACATAAATGTAACCACAGTCGTCTCATCGAAACGATCGCAATAGTTCGTTTGAAATTCAAACAAAACTGTGGCGAACTACCAATCTCCTTCGCAGAGACCAAACCTCATCCTCTTGCAAATACGCTGTTCGAACGTGTACGAGAATCTCTTGGCCAGATTAGAAAAGACTTTTTTCAACCAATATGTAGTTGGACGAGACGTGACAGCTTTTCTTTGTGCCGTATATGACGTCTCATCGCCCTTTTTCCTATCAATGACCAGTGATTGTTATTTTTCAAAAATATCGCTGAAATTTATATGCAAATATACCAATTGTTTGAGATTTCAGTTATTTTAAGAGAAACTTTTTCAAATAATTTTCTGTTCTACTACGTTACTATCTTTTTTTTTTTTGTATTAAATCAGTCGTGAAAGTTTATTATCTGACGCATCGTGAACAAAAAATAATGGTCACGGGTAACAACATTTGTATTGCACTTTTATCAAATACAGAGGCAGTTACAGAGATATTCGTCAAGGGAGGGAAAGCTGTTCTCTGTTCTCTATACAGAGCATGTGCTGGAGTGATGTAATTTCTAGTCTAACATGGTGTAGCTAGTTCGTAAAATACACGAGTTTCGACATTGTACGCTCGCGTCCGTCTCGTAAATCTGTTAGCCCCAAGAAGTACGTAATTAGTTCTCACTGTATTAGAGCAATAAATTTAATGAAATGTACCGCATTGATAGAAAGTTTCCACTGAACTGAAAGATTTCTCCTTTCCAGTGGATTAACTCTTTCAGTAACATTAATGCAATTTTTCTACCACTTTTATTTCACAGTTTCTTATATGGTGCCATAAAAACTGTGTAAGTGTCGTAAATAGAATTATTCCTGACAGAAGACAGTAAATCTACTTCTTTCAATTGATAAAAATATAAAACGTAGAACAGAAAAAGAACTAAAATTAAAATTTTTAATTATTTTTTTGTATTAGTAATGTCAAAAACGTCTGTAACGTTCGTACTTGAAAATTTGAAAGGACAGCCTTATTTGAAAGAATTTGAAAGAATAGCTAGTTATGGTTTTTATTGTAACAAATATGATTCAGTTAAGATGTATAATTTCGTTAAGTTATTCAAGATTTATAAAATAGACAATTTAGAGATCGTATTAAATTAAAATATTTTCTAGTAAGTTTTTCAATCGGAATCTTTCTTAAACATAGAATTAAATTGCAATATTAATTAAATCCGTAATTTGGTAATTGTGTTGTGAGAAAATATATCTATATGGTGGATCAATCTTTTGAAAAATTTGTATTTCGTGTATGCAGAATCTTTTAATATAGTATCAAATACGTCTTCTATATATAGAATAGCTGGAAATTATTCTTTATCCTAATAAGATATAATGAAAAAGCACAAATGTTGTAACTTTTACAAGTTCGTATAGAATAATGTAATATCTCTTAAAGTTCAATTTAACGACAAAAGATTTTACTAGATCGTAACATTAATTCGTACGAATGCTTTTAGTCAGTACAGTAAAATGTGATGTAAAAACACAAAAAACTGACTCCGTTGTTTAGTAGTACCTTTGAATCATCATCATCGCGAGAGTAGCTTCCTTCCACTATGTTTTTGCTTTCGTTCCCTCCAACTCGACCGGAAACCAGGTAATCGCTTTGATCCAGCTACCGCTTTTCGCTATGTAAATTTTTTTAAATCCGCTCATGTATGTTCCGTCTGATTCGACTGACTGAAACGCGAATGCGCGAAATTTCCCTTTCTCGGTTCTGTTACTATTGAAATATACTAACCTAGCTTTCAGCCATAGAAATCTTCGCAAAAGACGCTTTCCCTTGGAAATCTTTGCTTTTATCACGTTGCTCTTCTATCTGTCTTTTATTTCGATTCATATTATTAATAATTGCATGTGAAATGAAAGACAACGCACTAAATATGTTGCTTGTTATCTTTTATATGTTACACAGCAAAATTTTTCATTTATACGGGACATTTTTATCAAATCCATTTCACTATGTGTCTAAACAAATAAAATTAGTAATAACATAACACGAGTCACGATATTTTAAGAAAAGAATTTATTTCATTCTAATACTAGAATGTATAATACTAATACTAATACTAGAGAGAAACTAGAAATAAAAAATAGAAATTTATTTATTTGGCTTTATTGGGTAGTTTGGAAAATATCAATTTGTGTTCTATGTTGTCTATGTTCTCAATAATAACTACCATATAATTTATGCAGAATAATACAAGTGGAGGTTTATATTCGAGTGAGTATAAATAAAGCGTAAAATATCAAGAACACTTAGTGAAATGATTTTATTAAAAGCAACTTTTAATATTGAAATTTCAACACTATCGCGTGTAAACCATTTTGTTTTGTCTTTTTTTTTTTTTTTTTTTT